TATCATTAGTATAGCATTATTCCCTAATTATTCTAATATGATTTCTTTCAGAATTTAATTTTACAATGTAAATATTCAAACTAATCTATAATAATTTTTTATATGGCTACCAAACAGAGTAATGCTGATTAATTAGCTAAACAAGCAAATGGGTTTTAATATATTAGATGAATATGTGAGCGCATAAATATATGTTTTAAGAAAACAATATAATTGATTTCTTAAGGCAAATAGAGACAAAAATTAAAATGAATATTTTGACGGGAAGTGAAGATGACAATAATAAATTTAACTTATAAATTATTTGACCTATTCTTTTGTTTATAATTGGGTATTCAGACAAAAAATGATTACCTAAGACCTTTCCCATATTAAAAACACCTTATGTAACAACTAAAAAATATACTTGACTTTCCTCTCAAAATTTGGCGTTTAAAAATATGATACGGGATTTATCTGAAATTATGAATAATCAATTTTGTGACGTATTCCATGAATCGAGGAATCACTGCAGAATTTGACATATTACATATGCGTAGACGATACATAAAGTTCTTCTATACAATATTTATTGTTGAAATCTTACGTTTGTCTTTTATTCATATATTAAATTACACATTAAGCCAAATAGTAAAATGTAGGCTGTGCAATTAATTCATTATCGTTCATTAATATTCGAGCTGGAGGCAACTAGCCTATTTAGCCTAGTATACCATTAGTAACACTCCTCGCCAGAGGCAATTATTTATACCAGACTACACCTGACAACCTGCCCTGGAATGTAAAATACACATGATTTAAAACAGGGGTAGACATAACATGCGGTTGAGATACCGCCCTTCCGGGACATTGGGTTTGCCTATAGATCAAGCCACATCGCATTTGGTTGAGATCTGTGCTGAGAACATTTATAAAGCTATTTCACGTTATCGGCGAATTCTAACGACTCAGGTTTGTATTTTCAGTTGCTCATATAGTTGAAGCCACATCTAAAAACTATAGCAATCTGATCAAGGTTAATAGCAAATGTAAATTTTCCCTACCCACAATGCAGTTTTAAAGGTGAACTCTAATTATGAATGGGTTGAAATTGTTGTCGCAACTTGGTCCTATTGTCAGGGCGACTTAGTAGAACAAACCTAGTCCGAAGTTGTATGCCATAGTAGTTTACATGATTCCTAGCATCAGACAGTGAACTTGGTACAGGACCAAGTTGCGACAACGAGGTCAACCCATTTCTATGAATCTAAAGGAGACTGTGACCATATCAGAGGCCACATCCTGGTCTTCATATCTAATTATGAATAACTACGCACCAGCCTTCGTGGCTGTTCACTCAGGAATAATCTATAGTAAAAGCCTGAAATAATCGCTCATTAAGGAGCCTTTAGGGTATAAAGACAAAGCAAAAGAAGTAAAAGCGAAATATAGCCCATTTTGACAAAGGTTAAAAATGACACCTTTGTATTCAATCATTTAATAGCTCAAAACTTATAATTAACCTAAATTTCATTAGATGATCCATAGAGAATGCATCGTATGGGCCGAATGTGCCGTATTTTTAGTATGTTATATGGTGCCTTATTGAATGTGAGAATAAAAACAAGTCTGAATTATGTCTCAGACAGTGGGATAGGAAAACGACAGTCTTGTTAAGCGGACATCGAAAACAGAAATCAGCATAAGCCCAGTCTCATGAATATAAAGGCAAGATGTAGAAGTAGAAAAGATAGGGCTAGGCAGAACAACATCGGTGAGCACAGAAAGCCGAAGATATAGGGGCTAATAAGCTTTTCCATGATAGTCACGTGTATACACAAGCTCAATGGCCTTCAAGAAACATGAGATATCGTCATCAGTCTACGTATTGGTGAGATAAGGATATGAGAAGCACAGATCAGGATAAAGAACTGTGACAAAATAATTTTTATACTTAGACTTAGCAATGTAAAATGAATGTATGCACGTAGATGAATGGAACAAAAACACATGAGCGAGCCCATACTCAGTGCATGGATTCGCTAAAAAGAATATAGAAGCAAGCATACTTTAGATAGGTGTTCAAAACAATTAGTAAAAATGGGCCAAGGAGGTGGTAAAAAGAATAAATGATAGAGAAAAGGGTCAACTGGAAATTAAAGTAAGCTAAACGAGTCTGGACGAAGATTCGTATGGCCCAGAAGGGCGGTCAGGAGTCGAAATAACGTAAGGTGTTGCGGACATTTCGGAGGCAGAAGAAGATGCAATTATAGACTGTTGCTGTTGTGTTTGATCATGTTGACGAGTCTGGTTTTGACGTTTCAAAAAGAACGCATCAGCGGTCGGAAATTGGGCAGGAACGAAGTCAGGATCCCTTGACAATCGGGCAGCTAACTGGTCTGATACAAAATGACCAAGAGCTGCAGTTAATTCAGTGTCGGCACTAGGCAATGAAGACAGGTGGCCAGCGCCAGTCGCAACGGTGATGGTAGGCAAAAGTCCATTATTGGGACTAGTTCCATTTGTGAGAGAATCAGAAAATCCGCGCCGATCTGCAAAACCTGGTTCTGAATGCTGTTGGATAGCACTCGTAAGGCAGTCAGCGAAAATGCGTTCAGGGGTTTGCACAAGTGAAAGTCGATGTTCGATCATTACCTGGACGTTAGTAAAGAAGTGGAAATGGAAGAAATGAGACAATTATGTTAGAGCTAAATTTAAATACAAGCCGAGTGAGTAGATTTTGAAGCTATCAAAATAACTTTGAATAATAACCTTGGATAATTTAATGTGATATAAAAAGTGACATTTTAATTTTTCAAAGAGAAAGGGATAGGCTTTTCAATTCCAAAAGTATTCCAGTTCGATTGAAAAACGTTATGGAAAGTGTGAAATTAGAATAAGTGAAAGCAAATTAGATAATGAAGTTAAATGGAATAGTGAGACCTAAACATTTCGTGGGTAATTCAATCAATATATCACCCTAAACGACCCAAGATAACTGAAACAATTTTGAGGGGAGAATATATATTTAAATGAACTTATCTATAAAAAATTGAAATCTTGGAATTCCTATAATGCCTGTGATGCAGCAAGAGGATTAAAAAAAAGGAGCTCGAGACACAGAAATAGGATTTATATTATTTAATAATATAATAATCAATGCAAGGAGTATACCTTCCTGCGCTTCGCCGGCATTCCGAGAATATAAGCATCACTGAAACGAGTCAAACCAGACCCTGATGTAGGAGGCTTGGGCCGAATTGGGGCGCGTCCATCTGAAGTAGCTCCAGCAAGCTCGACACCAAATCGAGTTGTTGCTGAAGACATAGAAGCCATATCGCCAGCTACAACACTAATCCAGTCTGAGGGCAAAGTAGCTTGCCATCCATCAGACACACCGACAGATGAGGCAGCTGAAACAATGCTAGAGGCACTGGAAGTTCCGAGAGCGGTTGTTGACGAAGATAGAGCTGAATCGAAATTTGATCCAAGTATGCGAGAACGCGCGCTGTCAGGGTGGCGACAAAGTGTATCTATAGGTATGTCGTCAGGACCTGGATTCAAACTTGGTGGATGTGGAGGTGGCTAAAGTAGAAGTTGAGTAAATTTATTATCTAAATGCATAGAATATCCAAAACCAGAAAACAAAAATTGTGGAGATATAAAATTTGATCAAAATAATACTGTAAGCTATTCGATAGAATATATGGTAGAAAGCCGGATTTAAAAATAAAATAAAAACACGCCAAACGATAGGATCCATAAGCAAGTAATTTAATCAAGCTCATGCAATTTGCACCTATTAGTCAAAAAGATTTGTCAATAAGATGCAGTCTGGATATCATATATAAATATACATCCTCACTCCTTTATAGATCAAAGGATAGAATAAAGCCCGCTCACTGATAATTCATAGATATAGGCCATTAGATTTCTTGATCACGTAATTACGTCTAGAGGATGCAATTAATCAGGAACAAGAGTTAGAAATGCTGAAAAATCTTAATTAAAAGCAATTATCCGTTAGAATTAATTGTTAAAAAATTTTAAATACTAAGAAATGAAAGAAACCATTATTTGAGACCAAATAAGGAAGTAAACGACTCTTTGCCCAGGCTTGTAATGCTACCATCCTGTAAGCTTTCAAGAAAGATAGTTGAATTACTGACGTCGCATGACGGACGAAAGCTCAGCGCGGAGTAATCGGGATTGTATGACGGAAAAGCGATGTCTTCTTCGCAAAATTCAACGGACGAAAGTCCAAAGCTACGAATCCCTTCCACCCGCCTTTTCAAACGAAATGAAAAGTATGTCATTATCAATCTAATAAGGGATTCTTCGAAACCCCACATTCTCTACATATTTTAAAACTTTTGATCACTTCAAATAGATATTATTACAAAACCCAAATAGCTTATATGTAGATCGTGGAAACGATAGCCTGTGTTGTTTATACACTAGTCATATTTCACACGTTTAAAGAAATAACACTGACATACAAATCTATTAGAATTGAACCAGGACTGCCTCGCAGTCGAATGATAAATTAAAAATCAGCGTTAAAAGCATCAATCTACATCAAATTAATTGATTTTACAGAACTCACTAGCTTTCCAGGCATTGCTCCCCCAGGGGTGGACGAGGCAGAATTGATAAGGGATATAGGACTGGTAGAATGCGAGCCTGATGACATGGAAACTGCCAGTGTCGTTCCTCCTGTCCCCGTTACAAAATTAGATGCTGTGGACGAATGCTTTGGAGAACTGCAAGGTGCATTAGGTCGCAGAGTCTCTCGTTTAAGAGAAATCTCGATAGCAGAAGAGGAATTGACGTCTTCAACATCAACAAAAATCTCCTCTTCTTCCTCGTCATCCTCGCCTTCACGTCCACCTTTGCTAGAAACAGGAGACTTTCTATTATTGCGACAATTATTATTTAGATCATTGCTATCATCGTCATCATCCTCCATACCAAAGATGTGGAGACTCGCACGGTCGCCGGAAATCCGGTTTTGATGAAACGCATGAGTGTTGATAGAATTTGCGAAGATATTTTGCTGTGGCTAGTTAATGTAGGTCGAAAATATAATAGGTAAAAGTAAGACAAATGGAGTGAAATATGCAAAGATCCACTCGTCCGAAAATTTTGAAAGCTTATCAAAAATAATACTATCGACGCCAAAGCTAAGAACAATTTTGTTAACCTAAAAATCAATTTAATGGATGATAAAAAGGAAAGTTCTTGGGGTGTACCAATAATCTGGAATGAACTGGAATATAAATAAATAAAAAATAAGGACGCGATAAAATGTTATAGAGGTAACTTACAACTAAAAACCAAGTGAACAGAAAAACTTGTGGTACAAATTTTCACTCATGTTTACTAGAGACACCAAGTATTCTTTTAAATATTAATTTTGTTGCGAATTAGCATCAATTAAAAACAAAATAAAATTATCCAAAATGAAGGAATCAGGCTATCACGTGAATTATGATGATAAAATATGACATAAATCAGTATGAAGGCAATCAAACTCTGTCAGTGATAAGGAAAGAAGGAAAATGTATAAGAAGAAAGTACTGACGGATGTGTAGGGGGGTAATGTCTCGTTTATAATTATGTTTACACGACTACCAGTATGTCATTTATATATGAAATTTATTCATCCTATTTCGCTTAGCGTGATAATGGAAATTGTAATTGAGATGTCCAATTTAGACTTGACCTAGGTCTAATCAGCACTCCAGAGGGACTATAACCACGATAGTGCAGCTTATAGTCTTGACACGTTAACCACTATGCCACATTGCCACGAGTGACCGTGTCAGAGAGCAAATGTAAACTACGAAGGACAAGCATTTTCCATACTTACATTCATTTATCACATATAATAAAACATATTCAAGGTCGAAGCTGCAATCCATCCTGAATGAGAATATCTTTATTGAAGGCAAAGATATGTGACATTCAATGGAAATGTACCGTCTACTCATACCAATGTGTGAAAAATTAAATAACCAGTCATCCCCTAATTACCTTAAAGAAAAAAGTGTGAATACACTTCATATATAAGAAGGTAAGTTAACAGGCCCAGATGAAAAAATATCAAAACGAAAAACAGAGCAATTATATTTAATATGAAAGTTAGTTTATTGGAAAAGTTCGTATAATGCTAAAATGTATAATCCACAGGCGTAATAATCGCATAGGAAATAAATAAATTCATAGAATAGTACAATAATGGTTTTAAATAACCTTATCTACCAAAAATTTAGTGGCATGGACCTTAAGGTACAGAAGGATTCGTGGAAAACAATGAAAGCAATTAAGGAAATACACGACCATAATGCGGTGAAGTACAGTTGTAATTATTACTTATTTGACTGATATAAGGAATATCTGCGTCTCCAAGTGCCACTAGCCTAATCCAATAACAGAAAAAATATATCAGATGGAAATAGTGTCTTAACAAAGTTCACAAAAAGAATAATGAAATCAAAAAATAAAGACTGTAATTAAAATAACTAATATAATAATAATGATAGAGTTTTTCTTCCGTAAAATACTGGCAAGGAATTGATAAAAAAAAGAAAATCCATTAGCACTCCTTAATCAATAGATGCTAACATTTATGCATTATTGACACGGCGAAAAGCAATAGTCAAAAGGAATAAACCAGATAAATTAAAGAAGCTAGTGGTAAAAGACTAATATGAATAAGAAACTGTGCCATTTAGTAAAAAAATAAATCAATGTATGAGAACGCCATGAAT